ATAGATATTGAGTTTTAAATGTTCAAGATCGGCACATGTCCGCAATATCAGGTATCTGACTTTGTACTTGCGGGGGACAACAGTTAAAAATAGAATCACACCCCGAGACTGCCGGCTCAAGCCTGGACTCATACTGAAGTCCTACAACACACGTCTGAATCCTCAACCGCACGGCTATTACAAGGGTACGTACTACAACTACACGCATGGCTGAAAAACCCCTTCACAGGCTGTCAACTGTTACAATACCTCAAGTAATATTTATATTTTTCATCATGTGTGAGTCAGCTGTTAGGTAACTTGTTAGACATGTGTTTGTGGTCTTCCTTTGGGAATGGTAGATGTTGTCAATTCCACTGCGTTGTCTAACTGCTGACAGGTTGACACACTCGGCTTGGCTGCATTATAAACATATCATATAATTTGTGAAGCATCAGATTTGAATCCCTAAAATGATTAACAATCAAAATTACTCAACAATATTTGTTTGTTTTTCTGCTTATTTGTAGCCCTTAGTGTTGAGAATGTCTTGAATTATGAGGCCTCTCATTTTCTGATTTCTAAAACCGCGTTTCTTATTTACTCGAGCTCTAGTCTTTCAATCAAGTTGTTCACATACAGAGGTTTTAAAGAAGCAGTGGTCTCTTGGGGCGTGTTGTGTGCTTGAGGACAGATCTATTTTGGCACAGAGAGCCAAGTTGACATCGAATTACAAGTTCTTGCTCTCAGTCACCCAGGCGCTGACAGCTTTATTGTTTTTTGATATAGATCAAGTCCTATCTAATGCATTAATCAACCAAGCCAACAACAATGATTTCTGATTCATTAAAAACCTTTCAAGTGCCTCTTCAAGTATGATACCACTTAGAAAATTGGGACAATAGTATGCACACGATAATTAAAAAGGTAAATATGGAATCAGTGTATGGCATATCACACAGATTGGCTTCATTTAAGGAAAACAATCTATAACATTATTATTAAGACGTGTTTTAATGCATTTTGCAGCTTGAGCATTGTGTGAAATGCGTTTACAGATTATCCAAGGTGTTTGTCAAGTCAGGATCAGTATTCCTTGGTAAACACTTCAGACCTGCTCTGTCCTTCACTGCAGCAGGAATGTGACGAATGCAGGTCATGGGTGAATATGTGCTGGTATTTTTCCAGTGTCGTTTGTCATCGGTTCCCCTCCTGCAAACTTGTATATCAGGGTGCATGTTTTGAAGCCTCCCCCTTCAACACTTCATATCAGGCTTGTGCACGTATGTTAGGTTGGGCAATGTGAATCTAATATGGGTGCCTTTTAGACACAGATGTGCTTTTACAGTCACATTAAGTCTCTAAATATTGCAGATGTAATAAAACCCAGCTGAAATATTAACCCCAGTGTTACTCATCAGTTGCATGTCATTTTGGTTACCTATATTTTTAGATTTTTAGATTTACTTGAAAACTGCTTAACAATAAACTTCTTTAAATGCGTTTTAAGACATTTTAAAGTTAGGAGTATAATGCAAAATGTGTGCATCAATGTAGTTGTTTAGTAAATACTTAAATCAGAAAAACCTGACATGTTTTACTACCTCTTAGTTGTGTAAGACAATATACATTTGAGAATGTAGTCTGGGTCTGGTAACAGCACAACAACACACACTGGACATCTTTATCAGCTACAGGGTAACAACAAGGAAGGTTTCCTGTTGATAAGGTATGTCAAGGGCCCTTTAAAAGCCTCCAAAATAGATGCAACATGCCATTTAAAAAAAAGAAATATCTCCTGAAAGTAACATAAATAGATAGAGGTAGATAGTGGACCTTGCTTCCAATAACAAATCACCTCTGGCTGGAAGAGAACTCTCTGCTCCAGCTTCTCTTTGGATAACTGGACACACTGTACATTTTATATTTATATTTAATTTAATATTCCATTCCCTACACTCTTAATGTAAATAATAGCCTGCTTTGTATTGTGTCTAAAGCCCTTCAAGAGTGTTTTCTTGTGAGACTTTATAGATTTATCTTCACTCTACTGTATATTTTCTACTTTTTAATGCTGTTTTAATTCTATTTTGAGATGTTTAAATCCTATTGTTTATATGCCTTGTTTTGCTTTGTTGTTTTTTTATGCTGCTGCAACGCAAACATTTCCCAATTTGGGATCAATAAAGTACCTCTTATCTTATCTTATGCTTCATATCAAGGAAGTAAATATACTCAAGTGCCTCAGATAAGAGATTATTTGACTGTCTGACTTCACTTTGCAGGTACTAAATACTAAGGACCCAGTTGGACCCAGGGGAGGAAATGTCTCAAGAAACGCCAAGCAGAAACACGCTTCCTGCTATTTGTCCCATGGCTTAGCCTGAAGTTGGAAGCTGGAATCTAGCAGCACAAGATGGACCTGTGACTCCATTGCACAGATGAGAAAACATGTTCCCTTCCAGCTCTTACAGACTGTCTAACTGAGAATTGAGTTGCTCCTTCTCTTATGCACAGTCTTATTGAAAACATGCTGTCTGCAGAAAAGGCAGGGGCAGAGGTCGAGTTAGATATCTCAGACCCTAAAGTCAAATCAACTGAGCCTTTATTAAACACTTCCAAATGTCTCAATCAGGAGAAAACCCCCAACTCAGACTGCTTGAAGCCCCCATCATCCAGCTTTGATATGTCAGAGTGTTTACCATTTTGCTCTGATTCAGCACCAACGGATGATGATTTCAGAGTGTGTAGCTATTTGGGTTCATCAGAACCTGTATTACCAATATTACCTCACTTCTCTCATGATTTGATTTCCCCCCTTTCTGAATCTTTTTCAGAGTTTCACTTTTCAAAAGAACCAGCCCTGTCCTTTTCATTAATACAAGACAATGGTACACCTCAGCTTTTTGGGGCCATGTCTTCTACTTCTGAAAGTTCGACGGAGACACCTGACACTGAGCCTCTTTCCAGCTCTGAACGCAGTCGAGCCACTTTTCTATTAAAGTCGTTACCACCTGTGTCAGACCTTTATATCTTTGAAAGTGACACACAAGAGTTCCTCCTGACCCCTGATGTAGATCCGCAGGAGATTAAAAGTCCTGAAGACAAAGGACAAAGGACATTTTCAGACACAGAGGGAGGAACGGCAGAACCTGACTGCGGTACATGTGACCTTGTGTGTGATTCAGAAAACGTGGTGACACAATGTCATAGCGGCTCGACTGAGGAACGAGCTATGGTGGGCTATGCGTCAGACGTAAGCCAACATTCAAAGTTAAGACCACCTGCTGTGGATGCCTGTGAGGCAGGCTTGATGTCGGTAAATGATGGGAGGCGAGGAAAAGCAGAGGTCTCTGATTTGACCCACCAAACAAGGCGAAGCGACAGCCCTATCGAGCTGTGGCTGGACGCATGCCAGTATCTGACAGGTGAGGATACACAAGATAAGGATGTTTGGGACCAGACGGGACTTTATATGACTCAAGGAGAGCTCACCAGTGACGTTTCTTTTCCCCCAGGAGAGACAAACGTGTCAGGTTACAACCCTGATGGGAGCGAGTGGATTGGCTGGTCCAGCGATGACACCAGGGGTTGGGGGCCACCAGTTGAGCGGTGGTCATCCATAGACAGCTGGGCCAGTGCACTCTCAGACTGGAGTGGGATCATCGCAGCTCCACCAGAGGACTTTACAGCCGCTTTTACAGAAATAGGGGCCGGGATTGATGCTCTAACACAGGCACTAGCAGAGGTGAATACTCATATTGAGACAGAGACGTTTAAAGAAGGAAAGGGTCTAGAGCCAGGAGTACAGGCAACCATGGGCATCCAGGATCAGCCCCTAGAGGGGCAAAACATCCCAGAGAGCTCCTTCCTCTCTGGGCAGAGCTTACTCTCTTTGTGCGAAGCTGCACAACCTGAGCTCAGAGACAGAGAGGACTCCCAGAGCGTTGAATCCTTGTGTGATTCAACAGCGAACTCACAAGATGAAAAGGAGCCAGAGGAGATCCAGAGCTGCCAGGCTGAGCTCTCTGCATGCCCCACAAACCAGCACTCATCCATGGGATCATCCAGTGCTACCATGGCCTTTCCTGGAGGGTACCGTTCAGATGTGATCGTTGGGTCCAATTCTGCTTATCTGGACCTTTCTCACTTTGGATTTGAGGACACTTTTATCAGCAATGAAGAAGATCCGGTCGTACTGAATATAACAGAGGATACAGATTTGGCGGGACAAAATAAACCTGGAGAGCTGATGATTGAAGAGGTAAGATGACTTACTAGATAGATTTATACTTGTATTGTCCCATACAATTCAGTAAAGTATTTAACACACACCTCGCGCCTGTCCACACACATCACTTTTTTTGTAATATATGGCAGACAGTGAGAGAGCAGTGGAAAGAGTTACCCCTCTCGATTGAGAGAACAATCAGTCATGCTTGGCGCCAGATAAATCAGTAATGGGCTTTGTTAACACGTCCACAACGTTAAAAGGCATTCCCACCTTTGTCCTTGTCAGTCTTTTCATTCCTAGAGTATTGATAGCCAGTCAGGAGTTGTGCAGTTCTGAAAAGTGATATCGATGCATGACACTCACAAGTATTGTCACCCTGCTTTAGATGGGAGCCACCTATTTTACACCCGTGACGCCTTGCATGTCTCGGCTTAATTCTGTGTGATTGGATAAGTCCTTTGGCTCCCGTCTCAAAGACTGACAGCTGTGTGTGCTGAAGGAAACTGGGAGTGCATGTGAGGAAAACTTCAGATGGACTGAAATGGCATCTAATAATAGTTTGGAGTTCAATGATAATAGCATGCATCCGTGGCGTGTCAGGATGGAGGGGTGAGAGGAAGGCACAGCTGAGGACTGAAACATGACCCTCCCTTGCTCTCTCTCTCTCTCTCTCTCTCTTTATGTGTGCACCCTTTATCACACACATTCCCACCGCATCTCCTTCAGAAACCAAGGATCAGGACACCAAGAAGTCCGTGGGCATAGGAGACTGCTTTTGATTGGCTTATGTGTGCAGGGCATAGTCGGAGCTCCTGTCTATAACAGCGACAGTCTAGGTTGGCATACAGGACATATGGACAGTGGGATTGGATATAAAAGCATGGTGTTTCATAAACGTCTGCTTTGTGGCTCCATAGAAAGGTATGTGTTAAAAAGGATCTGAATGCTCTGGCATGTTTTTGTAACCTACTATCTATAGAATCTGCCTTCGAATAATAACCTGCCAACACTTTGGTGTTATTGTAAGGTCTAGTCGATCATTTAACATCCTCAGTGTAACAGACTTTTACTGAAGAATATGATAATATTATAAATAAGTGTACAATTTCCTAAAATTGCCTTACATTTTCTTCAATAATTGTTTTCATTACCAGCCCTTTAGAGATTAAGTAACCTACTATCTAGAATCTGCCTTGATATAATAACATGCCAACACTTTAGTGTTATTGAAAGGTCTACAATCATTTTCCATTATCAGTTCAGTATGACAGTTTTTTACTCAAGCATGTGATAATTGAATAAATATTAGTGTCTGCAATGTACTATTTCTTGACATTTCTTGAATTAATATTTGTTGTTTTTTCATTGCCAGCCCTTTAGAGATGAAGTGTGTGAAGTGACATACGAACACATCGTCTCCCAGCCGGGCTCTGTGGTCGAGCAGGAAGTCAACAGAAGCTGTGCGGAGGTCTTTCGAGAAGATACAGAACCTTCATCAGATCGTCGTTTTTCCCCCAAAAACACTCTGACAAACTCACGCGTGCCAAATGTGCACAAACGACCTGACACTCTACCAGACCTTAACGGGCCATGTCAGGTGGAGCAAGAGAGGGGAAGTCCCAAGTTTATTATGCCCTTAGCCCCTCTTGATATCTGCTCCTCCCTCGTCTGTCGGACAAACTGCACTTTGGAAGGAGATCAAGCTTCTCTCAATGACAACACAGACCTTGGTTGTGGTCACGTACAACCCTGCATTCTCTGGCCAACCTTGGATGGGATTACTGACAAAACTTCTTTGGATGGTGACGAGTTGATACATAGAAAGGAAAATACAACAAAGTCTGCAGAGAAATCTTCAACAAAGAAACAACCGGACTTTGTCACTGCGAGAAAAACAATACTTGAGGAGATTAATGACCTCAGTAAAGAACTTTCTCACTTGGCTGATGTCCCTGCAGATCATTTCATCGTGTCACAGAGGAACCGCATTGCATTCATCACTTTAGATTTAAATGACCCATTTGTCCCCTGGGCTGTAAAACCCATCGCCAAAGCCATACAGTCTGAGTTAAGTCAGAAAACAGCTGAAACTATGCCGCATAAAACCCACAAGTGGACCTCAGAGAGCAGAGCCCGCTCCAAGAAGGACAAAACAGCTGGCCATCATCATGGTGTACAAGCTACAAAGCAACAGGATAATTTATCTCATCACGTTTCCCCCCAGCAGGTCTGCAAACTGCAAGAAACTCATCCTCTTTCTGAGGAAAATCACATTAGTGAGAACATTCAAGTCGGGCCTGAGGAAAAGGAGGATAAACTGGTGATTGAAGCTGTTGTAGAAGCTGAGAAGGCTCCAAACAAACCACATGGCAAGAAGAAAAAGAAACACGCTCTGAATGCAACAGGAGTGAAAAGTGTAGCGGAGCCTCTGGTTGAGCTGGAGAATGGCGCAAAACCAAAGACTGCAAAAGGAAGGATTGATATGTTTGAGGCCAAGCTGGGTGGTAAAACTTGGAAAACTGAAAATGACAGTGATCAGTCAGAGGAGAAAAAGTCCCAGAAACCAGAAGCTAAAGCTAAAGCTTCCTATGGAGAACCACTTCTGCATCGTGAAGATCATAAAGACCACAAGCCCAAGAACTTTACCAGTACTCTGAACGATGATATCATTAAAAAACGTCGGCTGTCAGAGAACAAATTTGGAAAGATTGTCAGTGGTTTGGAGTCTAAACTACCAAAGCCAGACATTTCTAATCTGGCAAAGGCAGAGGAAACCAAGGCAGATGCTGGAGCTACTCGCAAGAAGGCGTACAGTGAAGTGGTCAAACAGAAAATCCCAGCTAAAGAAGGTAAGGGATACACATCAAACTATGCATCTCACATTAGTAAAAAAAACCTATTACTAATTATTTGTCTACATATGCAGACATTAAAGTGGTACAGCCCATCCAGGCAGTGTCGGTGAGCGGAGACCCCCAGACTCTGTGCCTGTGGTGTCAGTTTGCGGCGGTTTTCTCCAACCACACTGTCACCTGGAGCAGAGGCGACACTGTCCTGTCTGAGAGCAAGAGAAGGTATTTACTGTAGTTTAAGTTCAAATAGGTTCATTTTTACACATATCTCAACTTTTAAAACACCATATACTTAATAATTAAAGTATATTTTGCAACTAGCAATACTATGTTTTCTTTAATTTAAGTGATGCCACACCCATAGCCTATTATAAATTACATTACATGACATCTTACTTGTTAGAAGCTTTTATCCAAAGCGACTTACATACTCAATACTGTGGACAATCCCCACAGGAGCAATTTTGGGGTGAAGTGTCTTGCCCAGGGACACAACGACATGCTGACTGCAGTGGGGTTTGAACCTGTGACCCCCTGATCCCAACACCAAGGCTCTATCCACTGCGCCACACGCCCCTCGTGTGGCGCAAATGTATTCCAGTCCTTCATTGACACTAGCCATATACTAAATGTTTTAATTTCTTGAACTTTATTGGTACTCTTATTATTTCCAATAATTAAACTGTTCATTTTAAGCATCAGGTCAGGTTTGCCTTTGTGCTTCTTCCACAAAACAAAATATGCATTACTCTGAGCAAAATCACTTTAAAGAGATATTTGCATATGGAAGCAGGATCTATGCAAGAGGGTAACATTTTCTATCAGAACGCTAAAAGGGAAAAGCAATATTGCAATACTTTTCCTGCAATTATAAAGTAAGGTTTTACATTTTGCTTTCTCTAAATCTTTGCAAAGCAGTCAGTAGCCAACCTGGGTTGGGAGGGTTACTTTAAAATGGATGCTGTTACATCTAATAGTTACTTTAAAAGTCCCCTAATGTACTGTTTTTCATCAATATATTATAGGTCTCAGATATATACAAAACATGTCTCAGAAGTGTTTGGCTCCAAACACCAAACAGATCATTGCAGCATCCCATAATCCCCTCTGTTTCAGCCCTGTTTCAAAAGTGCTGATTCTCTGTCTGTTACTGGAGATGAAAATAAGGAGCCCCTCCCCACGCCCCTCTGAGAGAGATTTGGTTAACAAAATACACAATGGTGCTCTTGGAGGAGATTCAGGTGATAAGGTGGGGGGGGGTTACCTTGGTTGGTGATTGGCTAATGGTTACACAACCCAAATAAATGTTATGACATCACAAAGTGGCCAAAATCTGATCAGCTCATTTTCAGACAGGTTTTTATAAAGGATTCATAAAGGGTTTATAATTAGGTTATGAATTAGGTTGTAAACACTTTATTAATCATTAAGAACCATTTATAAACCAGTTCTAACATAGTTTTCATACATCAACACAGGCTCACTATTTGGCAAGTTGACTACGCCTTATATTAGCTACTTAGCGAGAATCAACTCGGTGAGCAACAGATACCAAGGATGCTGGCTGATAAAGAAGACGAAGTAAGCTAAGTAGCCAATATAAGACTTAGCAGTACAGATAAATGTGGGCTCAGTATTTGGCAAGCAACCGGTCACAGTTGCCCTGTTTATCTCATGTCTTATAAAAGCTTATTAATGATTTATAAAGTATTCACAACCTAATTAATAAATTAATTACAAACTATTCGTAAACCCTTTATAAGGGTGGTCTTATTGTAAAGTGGTACCGATGTTTTTTACTTAAGTGTATTATTACAGAAAACAGAACAATGTAATTTTAGAAAAGAATAAACCTAGATATTTAATATAAAAAAATGTGAGGATTGATTTATAGGAAAACCTGCCTTTCACTAATCATATTAAGACAGTAGCCTATACACAATGAAACACATGAGCACACACTACAGTTTAAAAAAGCAATATACAATACATTTCCTGCAATTATAAAGTCATGTTTTACATGTTGCTCTCTCTTAATCATTGCAAAGCAGTCAGTAGCAGCTATTGTGTAACCCATACCTTCAAAATAGGTATACATTTATCTAGATGTCACAGAGGAGAAGGGAGAAGAAGAGCAGGGGGAGTTTAAATGATTTGATAACGAAAAAAGACTTACAGTCTGAAGTTCAGAAAACTGGCAGAGTCCAGCAGTAAAACCAACATAAGGAATGCTAAACACTGGGATAACAAACACCTACCAAACCTGAAGTAACTCATTGAAGGAACAAACAGAAGGCCTAATCAACTAATGAAACGCAGGTGTGGGGGAAAACAGGCGGGAAAAAGACAAAGGCAGGAAGTAAAACTAAACATGCCACATAATAAAACAGGTAACAGACTACAACCAAATCCCAGGGCAACGACAGCTACCTTCACTCGCATCATACTCTGCAATCAAGAATAGGAACAACCAAAGCAGCTATGATCAGCTGACACAATTCTAATGTATTGCCATATAGATCCTGGATTGCCATAATGTATATAATTCATGTAAATGTCACAGTGAACCCACATTTGATATTACAGTAGGTTTTTTTTGCAATTCCACAGGGTCAGAAATCAGTGGTTTTGTGTGGGGCATTTTGTAACACTGTACCTTTTTTTGAAGTGCAGGGGACGAGAGCAGAGTGTCTGTGAACATCTGCAACGCTTCTCAGAAAGACCTGGGCAAGTACCAGTGTCAGATCACCAGTTTACATGGATCGGCCTCCCTGGACTACGTGCTCACATATGAAGGTATACATATTGATTTAACCTCATCAACAATTTAGAAAATCATTGTGTATCCACCCCCATTTACAAAAGTTGTATTTTCTTTCATATTTGTAGTGCTCAGTGAGATTGTCATCCCTCCATCTCCAAAGACCATCTTATGTGAGTTTTGGAAAAGGTTTCTTTCTTTACACATTTGGGTATTTTTGTGGACTTTGATGGACTGACATGTTTTTATTTTGTATTAGCTGCCCCTGTGGAGGTTGGGAGTGAAGAGGAGGATATCCAGTGCTCCAGGCTGATTTTCAAAGAGGATTTCCTATCTGACCAGTGTTTTGGAGAGAACCAGCCTGCCAGCATCATCACTGAAAAGGTTCACTTTGGGGAGGGGATGCACCGCCGGGCTTTCCGGACCAAGATGCAGGCGGGTCAGATACCCCTCTTACTACCAGGACACTGCTGTGTGCTCAAAGTACACAACTCCATCAGCTACGGGACCAAGAACAACGACGAGCTCGTTCAGAAGAACTTCACCTTGGCTGTAGAGGTAGGGAATGAAATAAAGTGCATATACTGTAAAAATATATTTACATAAATACCTTATAAATGCTTCTGAAAGAAAACATTTTATGAAAATGTTTTTAGGCTTGTCATTTTCAATTAATATCAAAACATTCTCATTAAGAAGTTGACATTTATATCACGTCGAATAACATTTATGACTCAAATGCATTCCTACTGTAACTTGAAAATGCTTATAAGGTGCCACCTTTTTACGTGAATTTTCAATGAAAATACAATCATTAGTGCCACCAAAATATACATAATGTGTATGTGAGGTACGTGGCTTTATATTGATATGTTTATTATCCAATTGTGTGTTAAAATACCTTAAACATGTTTACGTGTATTTGATTACTAGTCTATTCAAAGCATTGCTTGCTGACATGTTTGCCCTATAATACAGAAAGATATTGTTTTGTAATTTGAGTTTTTGCCCTGTAGGAGTGCCATGTCCAGAACACAGCAAGAGAGTACATCAAGGCGTACACAACTGCAGCGGAGTCTGTGGAGGCCTTCGGAGCGGTCCCAGAGTGAGTCACACAACAACGATCTGTAGAGTGAATGCAAAGCACAGGTCTGAGCTTTAAGATAATGTCAAATACTCAAAGCTCAATGCATTTTGTTCTATGCTTCCACCAGGATTATTCCCATCTACCTGGTTCACCGCCCGTCCAACGACGTCCCGTACGCCACGCTGGAGCAGGAGCTGATTGGGGACTTTGTGAAGTATTCAGTGAAGGACGGGAAAGAGATCAACCTGAAGAGGCGCGACTCGGAGCCGGGACAGAAGTGTTGTGCTTTCCAGCACTGGGTCTACCACAAGACTGACGGCAACCTGCTGGTCACTGACATGCAAGGTACGGGTTGAAATGTATACTAATACACAAGTTGTTTTTATCTGCAAATTATTCTGCTTTTAACTTATAATTCATACAATATATAGGCTTTGAATTTAATTGTATTTATTCCTTATTTTACTCGTATTCTTTATTTGTATTCTTATTTTATTCCTTTTTAATCTTATTTTTATTATTATTTTTATTTTATTATTATTTTTTATTTTTTATTTTTACTCTTAATGTATTGTTTTATTCAGTCCTGTGATGGTATAACGTTCTATTTTTTTAACACAAAGCTACAGTGTGTGTTGCTCTGGTTATTACCTCGGAAAAGGGTAGTCAGTGTTTTTTGTATCACTCTGTTACATTTGTGTATGAAAACTGCTTATAAATAAAGTTTGATTGGATTTGATTTGAACTAAAGATCCTAATGTCTCTTGTTTTCAGGAGTAGGAATGAGGCTTACTGACGTGGGAATAGCCACCTGTAGGAAAGGGTGAGTATTTATTTTGAGACCAATACTAAAGCATGTTTCCTGTTGCATGCAAACAGATGTATTAATACATTATTTTTTCTTTTTTAGATACAAGGGCTTCAAAGGAAACTGTGCCACCTCCTTCATTGACCAGTTCAAAGCTTTGCACCTGTGCAACATGTACTGTGAGCTGCTGGGCCTCAAATCCCTGCAGCCCAAACCCAGAAAGGCTCCATCCGCCCCCAAAGCCAGAGCCCCGCCCCCTGCTGCTCCCAAGAAGAAAACCTTTGGGCCGACAGTGAAGGGAAAGTCCTAGTAGTGGGAGAACCTTGGACTATGTTTCAGTATTTTATTGACTAGCTGAGGTGTTATGTGATTTGCTCCTCCAGTCATGCAGAGATTGGCCTGTAAAACATGTATAACAGAAAGGTCTCAGAACAGATGTTTTTCACTCGTTATACAACCAGCAGCTGTTATTTCACAAAAGTTTTTATTTTCTTCATCTCGTGTTGAACATTTGAGAGATATATTTTATTTAAATGAGATGATTTCTGTTTCAGAGTGTATTTATAATCCATTGGAGGACACTTTATGTCATGGAAAACTGTGACAAATGTAACAAACACTTGAAAACGATGCTAACGTTGAGTTTGTGTTGAAAACTGTGACGTCTTAGAGATTGCTTTATTTTTTGAGGTGCAATGATTCTTCTTGTTTTTTCTACTTTGGTGATGTTTTCAAACTATTAGTTCATTAAATTAATGAACTTGTTAATTCATTGATTAGAGAAAATTTCTTTTAGGTAGGTTGTAAATACACACGGTGAAGGATATGTTTTTATGTTCAGTATGAGAGGCAAATTTGTGCGTTTGGTTTGCAAGGTATTGTATATTCAGTTTAATGTGACATTACTATGATGTAATAAAAGCAGGATATTCAGGATGATATCATATTTTATTCTGAAAACAACAGAAAATACATTGTGTACACATTAACCTCACATAAAGTATGGTTGAGAGATTTATTTATATATCATTGTATGCAGTTCTGACTGTTACTTGTATTTGTATGTCTGACATCCTTCAAGGATCTATAATCTATTTCAGATCAAGTGAACGGCTTCAAATGAATCCTAAACCTGACATCTAGAGCCACATTTCAACACCATAGCAGCTTTGTAAAGGCAGTCTTCTTATGATACCCCTCTCTGTCAAACCCTCACTGTTGTCTTTTATATTTCTGACCTAAGTTGCTGACATAGTTCTCAGGTTATGGTAAATATGTAAGCACACAATAGATCTGTTTTATTAAAGACATGTTACTGGTTGAAAATGCTTTCTAATTTTCTTGATCAAATCACATTTCAGGTTTGAAGAGATCAGGATTTGGACACTGTATGCAAATGCCTGCTTGTAATTGAACATCGGGCTGGGTTTGAAGGTGTTTCTTTGTCTATCAAAATATATTAACAGGCAATTTACAAAAGTACTTTATATCATAACCGTTTTTCTTTTTTTAAAGTTTGACACAACACAAGGAATGGCGGCAGCATGAAAACAAATGGCACGTCTATTTTCATTTATCCTCACAGGAGACGTCTCAAGTTAGCACCTCGAACACAAAGTAAGTGGGTCACACTCAGAGGCTCAACATCATGCACGCCGTATCAACACTGCAACACAGCGTAGTGTGTCCCCTATGTGTTTCAGGCTGTACAGCAAGAACTCTTTAAAAATAAAAGCACTTTAAAGAGTTAGCTTAGGCCTTGTACCCAATTCACCAGCACTCACAAAGACTATGAATATATCTGCACTCTCCTTGTTGTTCGGAGCTGGAATCTCAATGGTTTTTGCATTTATTGTAAGTCGCTTTGGATACAATCGCCAGCCAAATGTAATGTGATGTAATGAGGAAACTATAACAACTAATGCACGAGACACAAAACAAACAAGAAGGTGGACACCAGGAAACTGAGGACTATCATGAGGTCTGTTTCACACTGGAGCTATTTAGTGTGATAATGGCGTTTGATTCACAGGACACAAACACCATTGTCACACTCCACAGCTCTGGAGGAAAGCGTGTACTGAAGATACTGCACACGGAGGGGTTGTTAATACAAACTGGTAGGCGGGTGATCTGGGGAAAGAAGAGGAAGAAAAAGTTATTTGTGGAATCAATAAGAGCAATGGAGAGAGTTAAATGTGTTATGACACTTGGTTTTACACATGTTCAAATCTACTATAATGTTGTACTCATTGATTAAGTAAATACACAAGGCTTATCCAAAATGTCCAAGGTCCATGTCTTTTTTTAACCGATTGTGGGGATGACTGCAGCTGTTTGCATTCAAAGTGTGTGAGAAAGACTAAAATACCACCTGTGCCATTTTCTTTCTACCTCAGAACCTTCAAACTGCTCGTCACAATAGATTGAATACGTCTGTATCGTTTCTTCTTTTAACTATATAACATTTTGAGCTGAAAATGACACCATAGTTTCGTCTGAGTGAAAACCATTAATAAAGGCTCCATATATATTGTAGAACAACCAGAAATGATACATTTTATTGATAGAGAGTTTTTTTTTTTTAAAGTACTCAAAGACACTCTCACCTCAAGTTTCTAAAGTGGATCCTCTGTCCAGGATTCATTCATTCATCTGGTGACTCTCCTGCTCCTCATCCTCCAGCTCCTCTCTCCTCTCTGCTCCTTCCCCTCGCAGTAGAGATCTTTGTGTCTCTTCCAAACGGTTAAAAGTCCACTGGTGCGTCCGGAGCTGCAGGTTCATGATATGTGGTGCATTTTGGTTTGGTGCTGTCCCGTTCCAAGTCTTTATATAAACAGAGCAGGGTTTGGACAAACAGCCAGTTCCACATTAGTGATAAGCTACAGGGGAAGTATCGATCGACCCTGACCAGAGGTAGAGGGTGAGGGGTGGAGGAGGGGGAGACCAAATAAAACTGCCCCGGTGAGGCAACTGGGCCTGAACACCAAAGGTTTCTCTGAAAGTCACCACCCGACGGTTCCTGACAGGAGAACGTGGAGGAGCTGAAAAGTCAGAGTCCAGAGTTTGGGGTATAATTAGCAGTAAAAGCAGAAAGCAAAGCATCAAAGAGTCAAGTCAACCCACCTCCATTTATTTCATGTACATGTTAAAGAAAGGAAACACAGATTCTTTGTAGTTAATGGATGAAAAATAGTTAATAGATACTTTGTAGGAAGTTATATGTCCCCTAAGATCCATTGCATAATCAAAGCTGTCACTTAAGGTATATTATGAAATAGCTTCTCTTCACACTCTGAACCTGAACAATACATCAGGGATTCCCAACTGAGGGGGCTTCTGAAGATGCCAGTGTCAAACAGTTTCACCCTTAGTCTGTGAAGCTTTACAGAAATAGCAACTAGCACGTTTGAAGAAATGTCTTTTGTACATTTATCATAAACCTGGCAGTGCAAAAAACCGTTTTCTGACAGTTAGCATTTAACTGGGGAGGTACACTTCTTGACCCTATTCAGCTGTAGCATATTTTACAATGTATTTTTATATGCAATACTGTTCAGGTATGTTAAAATGATTATGTTAGATAAGTGTTAAAGGTGTTTAGAAGAAACAATAAGGCAAGTCTTTTAATATGTGTGTTGATTGTTATGAACAAATTGCCTTTTTGCCCACATGTGAGGAACAAAATTAGAGTTGATAAAATAATCGTGGTAGATCATTTTTTTAATTTATTAGCATCCACTGTTGTTTCAGGATTTCAGAGGCCTGTTGGACTGTAGTATCTTTTTATAGGAAACTAACTAAATGCTTTTGGACCTCTTCTGATTTACCTTATTAACTCTCACCTGCACTTTGTGACTTTATTTTTCGAGCCGCTGGAATGCTTTGGAAGGAGGATCTGAAGAGAGTTGGCTCTTGGTTTGTTTGTGACCAGATTGAGAGGAGCAGGGCTTGATAAAATGTCCCCGGACAGGCGGTGGGGCTTTTATTTGCTTGTCCTTGGAGCTGATAACTCTTAGATTGGCTGTGTGAATGAACGGAGGTCCCTTCACCACACCACGTGCGCACACACACACTTTATTTCTAAAGACAGGTGCTCTGAATACAAAAACAAAATCAAATAATGTCCTTAAGCAGCAAATGTCCATGTTAGATTATATCTTTTTTCTATGAAAATAACCTTTTGTTGTAAAAGCAGATTATTAATTTGACAAATGGTACACTTAAAGTAGCACATTTCTGTAAAAATATAAATCAGAAATAATTTAAAATAAATGTCAGATCATTATAAATGTACTTTTTAATGTTTTATTTTTTATAAATTCATCTTGCATGTTGTATTATTTCTAATTAGACTCGTGCACATAATATAATACTAACTTTTCATCTGATCAGAATGAATGAACTAGCAAGTAAACATTTTAGCATTTTATTTAACATTCGTATTTACAAAATGCTCATGTTACAATTCATAGTTGCCTGTACTTTGTTACTTTTGGATTGCCTCAATATCAAATGCAGTGCATAAATACAAATGATATTGCTTTTACTTAAAAATATGAAGTTAGACAACAGATCAATGTAACCTTTTAAACCGGTTTTTCATTCATCGATGTCAGGCTTTGGCCCAACAATGAAAGTTGCGCAATACAAGACCACATACAACAGTTTACAAAACAAAACATCTACATTTGAAATCTAACATAATAATGGACTGGGAGATTTGCTATAGCTTCACTCATGACCTGTTTTACTCGGTATGTAAGCATGTGCTTCAATATATAACGTTCTTTATAATTACATATATTTAAATGTACTGTAACATTGTAATCATGCTAGTAATCCCCATTTTAAAGAATGTACCTGTTACATGTAATCTGTTACTCCCCAAGCCTGGTAATATATAAATAAAGCTATAAAGTGAATTCACTCAAACAACACGTTCTGAGAAGTTTCATTTTTATTTGACTGAAGTTAAATGAACCACAGAGAGTTGCAGAGAGTGGTGGAATCTTTAACAAAAGAGATATTTCCCGTCATTCATTAAAAAAAGGTCTAATCTTTACAGAGTAGTTGGGGTGGTGGGATCACGGGAGGGAGGGAGGGAGGGAGGGAACACAAGGGACAAAAGAAAAGAAAGACTTAAAATATGTGAAGTTTCTGCTTCACTTCCGTTTTCCACCTTAGCAGCAGCCCAGATCGACAGACTATTTATATTGCACCAGGTAAGTGCTCCGAATGGGAAAAAAGAATCACATTCAAGTTAATGACAAGACATACACTAGGCGACATGACCTCAGAGTGATCTATAAAGTGCCCTTTAGGTTCAATGGTGTTAGAAAAAGGAGAGAAACAAAAACATAAAAAAAGAAAAAACATTTTCTTTGTAAGAAACGTGCTGCTTTATATTCAGTGGCAATCACAGCTTTCTCTCAAACACCCGCGCACGCACACAGCTTCATTTTTAGTGTTTTTGATCAGTAATACTTAATATTCACATATATTTATATATCAGGAAAGAACTTAAAATGTGGGTTTTTTTCCAAGAACAATTTACAGCATTATGAACAGCAACAGGCATGATGATATTAATATAATCATTACGCAAACATCTCGGAGGAACTGTCCCCAAGTGTTAAGATTTCCCTTCTCGACCAATTACACGTCCAATTTACTACCATGTAGTCAAAGCAAACACAAGATACGGTTTCATGCTGCTCTCATAGCACTACGATAAAAAAACATTTGATTCAACACATTTGCTATCACCATAACAAATGATATGGATTAAGTATTCCCCCGACTAGCCAGATTTACACTTCACACACCAAGTCGTATAGAATTGTCAAAATAGTAAACATTGTTCATCAGTACAAATGAGTTAAGAGTATTTTCCTGCAAGAATCATACCAATGATTTAAAACTATTCGAGGAGGACAAAAACTATATAAAAAAATCTTTGGGGATTATTTGATCCCCCTTTCTTGAATTCTTACCAGTGGCTAAAAAGAAAAGGGGAAACTACAAAAAGGCTGCAGCGGCAATTTTGATCACACAACAAATAGACAAGGCTCTACGGAAGGGTCTGGCCGATTTCCTGAACTGTGATTGGCTAGCATTCCTAAGGTAATCTGGTGTTGGTCTAAGTGTTTGAGAGAGTTGTGATCATAGTGCCTTTGCAGTTTCTTACAGAAAATAGTGCATGTAGGAGCCAGATTAAGGCCATGCTAAATCCACTGCATTGAAGGGTGCTTAAATAATGTGCTATAGTGTATGTAAGGAGCTATTGAAATGCATTAGTGTTTTCCAGCACTGTAGATTTTCACAGGACAAGGGGGGGAACAAACGGCAGATTAGGGGCCAGCTCATTCATCACTCATGCCTGCGGATAAAAGATTTCAGCATTCAGCAGTGCGGCGCTCCCTTTCGTCCCCCAGCACCTTTAAGGAGTGACCTACCCACTCTGAAGAGATCTAAACACGTAGGCGTAGTTGCTGGACAAATGGCTGTACAGTCTGAAGCCAGCGTGCCGTGGAGGGGACTCACAGTCAGGCGTTACAGGAAACATGCTCGCACACAACTGCTACAGCAGCTGCTTCCATATCCCAGTGGTGCATTCTTTCTTTTTTAATTGAAATTGTTGGTTGGTTTGATGCAGTCAGAGGCTGCCGCTCTAGTCCACGCCCTCGAAGCCCTGCGCGTTCTCCACAGCCATGAGGAGTTTCTCTCTCAGGTCCTCAAAGGATTCGTAAGTGGGAAGATCCAAGCGGTTGAAACTGGGGGGGGAAAAAATGGTATTGCAAGTTATAAAAACTCCACATTTGGTTTCAAAATGCAGCATTAAAACGTAACTTTAATGAACTCAACTTAGTATTTGTGGCCATTGAAGCTGCATGGCTATTTGTCAATCTGTCAGTCAAGCCGTCCACTTTGGTACAGGTACATCTCAACAACTGCATGCTAGAAGTATTCATGGTTCCCTGATCTGAGTGACCCTTTATTTTCCCTCAAGCATAACCATTAGGTAAACATTTGTAATCTTTTGAAAAACTGGTTTTATGACAAAACTCCCTCAAGAAGTAAACCACATTCCCATCAGCCTCATCTGCACTTTGGGTCAAATGTTATTAAGTAGTTAGCATTCCCTTTCCCACCCAAAGAAAAACCTGTTTATGTTCGTGTTTTATTTAAAAATATGTGTCAGAGAGAAGTTTTATTAAAAAAAACACAAGTTCCATTTGTATATCTGTTCTTATTTGGCCTCTCTTTCAATCAAACCAGAGCTGGTGATTGTTGGAGCAGTTGAAGACCAATAGGCGAGGTAAAAGTACTTTTGTGATGGATTGAAGGAGAGCACATCAATTGTATGCTTTGTATTATCAAAATAATTGTCACAAAAACTTTTATTTATTTATTATCACAATTTCCCAAATTGGGATCAATAAAGTACTATCTTATCTTATATTTAGTTCAATACATTTAATTTAGCATTGCAGAAAAGGGCCTTGATTAGCATGTCCATGCGGCTGACGTGTTCTCTTTAGAGGAGCTGTAGCCGATAAATCCTGTCAATACTGCAGATCTCTCCCAGGATTAAATAAATATTGTTACCTTTCTACTGAAACAAAAGCCAGATGGAAAAAAGGTGAACGTGGTAAAATTACACCTTGTTAGCATCGGGCTTGTGGGTGTGTTAGCAAGCTGACATTAGCATTAAGCTCATAACAACACTGTGCCTAAGTAAAGCCTCAGAGCTCTGTGTGTGTGTGTGTGTGTG